GGCTCAGGGAAAGAGTGAAGGCGGCAGCCCTAACCTGAAGTAATGGTGGAGAAAAAAAAAAACCCAACAGAAAATTAATACCAAAGGAAGAAGCTGCCCGCAAGCAAAGGAGAAGCAAGCAAAGTGGAGACCTGGAGCAGGCTGGGGACCCAAGTGGTGGCAGGCTGGAGTCCACCTTCTCTGACTGCTTGGGAGAGTCCAGTGTCACATTTTCAGGCTTTTTGTGACCCAATGAATCACCTCAGCCACCGAAAATTGGCTACAGTGTGGCCAGTTGAATTAACTGCAGAAATTGGCAAACCCAAGTGTCTGACCTTCCTCCTACCTCCACAGCCCATTGTTGAAAACTTTTTAGGCTGGGCCAACACCATGCTAGGCTCCAGTGGTTTGAGACTCCAGTGGTCCAAAAGACTTGGCTTGAAAGACCAGCTAACCAGCTAACCGTCAAGACTGATTTGGCTGCCCCGAAGCATCATGGAGCTGTCTGCTGCCTACATCCTGTTTTCCAGGAGGGAATCCCTATTAAGAGAGTTAACTATCACAGTCTGTCCCCTTTCCTAGCAGAGTCACCAGACAACATCGCGTCAGTATCAGTTTCGTCTGGGAACATGTCATATTCCCCAGCCCCCTCAGCCTTTGCTTTGTTAAAAACGCTAGGAAGGAGGCCAAGAAACCCATGAGGGCTCCCTTTTCTTTTTCCTTTTGTTTCTTCCTTTTCTTCTTTCCTTCTTTCCTCCCTCCTTCCTCCCTGTATGCATGTGTGAGTGCATGTGTATATGTACACGTGTGTATGGGTGCATGTGTGCGTGCGCACATGCATGTGTGCTGTAGCTCATTCGTGTTTGCATTGTGGAGGCAGAGAGAGATGTTATGCATCTTTACTGTTTCCATCTTATCTTTGAGGCAGGTTCTCTTAATGAACCTGGAACTTGCTATTTCTACTGACTGGTTAGCCAGCAAGCACTAGGTTATGGGTGTACATCACCATGCCTGGCTTTCACATGGATTCCAAATCTGAACTCAGGTTTCCGTGCTTGCTCAGCAGGCATTGTACCCATGAACCATCTATCTCCCCCAGTGCCCAAACCCATGTCTTACCAACCCCTGAAGATGCCCAACTTTGGGCATCACTGGACTAGGCAAGTAGTGGTGATGAAGACTGCGGTCCAATCTATGAACAGCAGCATGACATTCAAAAAGGAACCACTAGCAGGGAAGCTACAAAGATAAGGGCGGAAAGACGGCCAAGCAAGTGGTTCGGGTAAACTCTGGAGTGACGTGGCAGTTTGGTGGCTTTGCCGTCGCAGGCTGAGGAGGAGCCGATTAGAGATTATGGCAGATGTGGGCTTCAGACGCGCCACTCGGCCCTGCGATGCTTACAGCATCCACCCACCCACCCACGGACCGATTCATTTACTGAAGAGTCACCTTGAGAGAGCACCGCCACTCTCAGGGTTGGGGCGTGGGGAAAACACAAGGGAGTAGGCCACTCTCCCTGCTCGTAGCTCGCACAGAACACGGGAGCGGGGTATAATTACAGCAGGTAGGTTGGGAAACACATGGGTAAGTAAAAATGTGTCTGAGTACAGCAAAGGGAGGGTGTCACCTGTCCCCCAGCCTAGCCAGGAAGGTTTTCCCTTTAACCTCAGCACTGGCATCTCTTAAGGAACCCTGGTAGCTGTGACATGTTCCATCATACAGATGAGGAAGCTGATGCTGGGGGTGATAAGGGACATGGGGTGGGGAGGGGAGAGGGAGTGGAAAGGAAGAGGTGATAATTGGCTTTTCTTTTTTATTAACAATCTTTCCTTTATTTTACATCCAGACCACAGTTTCCCCTCCCTCCTCTCTCTTCATTCTCCCCTCTCCCACTGTTATCTACCCCCCCCATCCACCCGCTCCTCTGTCTCCATTCAGAGAGGGGCAGGCCTCCCATGGGCTTGAACATAGCATGGCACATCCAGTTAAGGTAGGACCAAGCGCTTCTCCCTGTATAAAAGCTAGGCAACAACTTGGGAAAACAGGTTCCCAAAGGCCAGCTAAATGCCAGGGACAGGTCAAGGGAGAAAGCTGACTTTTCTAAGGACACATAGTCTTTGGAAACCAGAGTCAGGTGCAGCTTCAGGTGCGTCGAGGCTAATTCTAGTTCTTTCTGATAGAGCTGGAGCCTGAACATCTGATTTATTTTCAGCTCTGTCCCGTGTGTTTCCTGAGAGCTGTAGCGTTAATATTATCAATACCAAAACGAGCCTGCTGGGCCTTTCATTTGTGCGGCCCTTCAGGGACCAGCCCTGCTTATTTTTACTGAACCCACAGTCTGCTGGGTGAAATGCGCGGAGAGGACATGGGGGCTGGAGCGGTGACTCGGTGGTTAGGGCTCTGGCCAAAGACCTGAGTTGAGATCTCAACACCCACATCAGAGGGCTTGCAACTACCTGTAATTCCAGCTCCAGGGAATGCAACACCCTCTTCTGACCTCATTACACGTGTGTACAACATGGTATACACACACGCACACCCACACACCACACACTCAAGAGTAAAAGTTGATCTCTAAAAAAGAGAAGAGACATGGATTTTTTTTTCCCGTGGTATGCATGATTTCTAAACCACGAGAAGATGGACCGGTTAGCCATATCATGACATGCAGCGCCCAACGCCTGTCTGCGCTCTGTGTGCAACCATACAGTTCGCGAGCTTTGGGCAAGGGGCTGGAGGTTGAAACATACAGAGACTCACACAGACAGAGACATGGACCTCTAGTCACTGGTAAGAAGCCCCTTATTCAATAGCACCATGGAGGCTTATATACCCAACAGTCAGTGGGCCCACAGGTGAAAACCTTATCCTCTGATCCTCAAGGCCAAGACAACACGTGCTCGTGAAGCAGAGCTGGTAAACAACTTTGACACAGCTTTTAGTAACTCAAATCAGAAGGAAAGTAAAGATCTCTAGCAGGGAAGAGCAGCTGGAGGGCAGGACTCCAAATGGTCCCAACAGTGACACATAGCATTAAAGGCATGTCTTCTGCTGTGATTAAACAGCACAGCTGAGAGCGACTTACGGAAGAGTTTAGTTTAGCTCATGGCTCCAGAGGGATAAGAACTCGCCGTGGTGGGGAGGCATGGCAGCGAGCAGCAGGTTGGTGGCAGGAAGAAGAAGCGGAGGGCTCACACCTCAACCACAGCACAGAGCAGAGAGTCGCCGGAAAGTGGCTTGCGGCTTTTAGCGCTCAGATCTCACCCCCAGTGCCATACTTCCTCCATCAAGCCTGGACCACATCAACTGCCACAAATGGCGTCACCAACTGGGGACCAAGTATTCAAACATGGGAGACTTTCTTTCCTAAACTAAAACCACACACCAAGCAGTAGAGTTCCATGTTATTCAGATTTTGAGAGATATTATTACTGTGTCAGTATGTCTACTGAGAGCCACATGGTAGAGAATGGTAGCCAAAGCGGCCCAGGATGGTCTTCTACCATCTACTAATATTACCACTCTATGTCACAGGAGGACCCCTGGTTGACCTCACTGAAGCACGGACTTCCCTGCTGCTGGGCTACGGTGTTGTGCATATTATTCCAGAAGAAGAATGTGTAGTCGGTAAGCGATGACTCTGGTTTGGGGATTCTGCCCCACCCCAATGTACCCCATAAACATTATCATTTCCCCTGGTAAATAATATATGTGCCACTGTCAAATCTGTGCCTATAAGCTTGTCAGTGCCAGGCATCGGTTGCTTTATTCTATCCTAAACTTTGCTGGAAACCTTGAACATTTCAGATTAACGTCCAGATATACGTGGTTGGACTAGAAAAAAAGAGCGCGTGAGCAGGGCCACATAGAGCAAGCAAATGACTGAGGGCCCCTGGGCAAGCAAGATCAAGTTCTCAGGGGAACAGAGTTGTGATGCCCCAGCCGTTGTCAAGCACTGAGTTAGGCTGTAGAATGGGGGACACATCGCTTTCACCTTCCAGAGACTTCCTGCCCAATGAAAGAAGAGGCTCAGGCTTCACAGAGAGCCACGGAAATGGTGAGATAGAATTAACACCAAAGAATACTGAGGAGACTCGGGAGAAAGCTTGGCTTCACTCGACTTTGGTAGCGAAGAAAACTGATAGAAAAACGAAGCAGAATCTTCAGAAAGTCCCAACTAGCACAGGAGTTCCCGAGAACCCCAACCCAAGGTGGCGGGGAGTCAAAGGGGCATCGGACAGAACCGTCTGTTAAGGTTGAGTGGTTCTCAACCTTCCTTATGCTGTAACCCTTTAAATACAGTCCCTCACGTTGCGATGACCCCCAACCACAAAATTATTTCTGTTGCTACTTCATAACTATAATTTTGCTTCTGTTCTGCATCGTAATGTAAATATCCAATATGTGACCCTAGAGGAGCCGCGACCCACAGGTTGAAGACCACTGACCTAGACAGAGACCAATTGAGAGCCCGAGTGGTGAGATACCACGTTGCCTAGGTGTGTCCTGCATGGTGTACAAGAGAACGGGAAGCTGTAAGTTGCCCAAGGCCTAACGTCCCTTGGTGGCCTAATGGCCCTTGGTACCCTTCCGCGGGTGTTTCTTCCTGGAGTCACAGCCACCCTGGCCCCAGGGAGACAGCGCCATTCCCATTCTGGAGATATCTCATTGCCCTCCGGGAACAGCTTACCCAGTGCTGGGCACAGAGAACCTCTCATCCACAGCAGTGAAATGATTGGCATTAAGGCTGCCATTCCCATTTCACATATGAGGAAAGCGGCCAAGCAGACTGCTTAGGGCTCACTGCAAGCAGGTGGCTGCATTAGTTAACTTTCCTCGTGGCTGGGATTAGGAAGAAACTTAAAAGAGGAAGAATTTATTTGGGGTACAGTTTGAGGGAGGACAGCCCATCACGACAGGGAAGGTACGGGGACAGGAGAGGGGTGTGGTTGTGACATCATACCTGCTGACAGAAACAGATAAATACTGGAGTTCAACTCACTATTTAAAATTCAGTTTGAGCCTCCAGCCCAGGGCACAGTGCTTCCCACACAGCGGCAAGTCTTCTCTACTTGGTTAAACATTTCTAGAATCACCCTCACAGGCACACCTAGAAATACGTCGTCCGTGGTGACCTTAAATCCTACCAAGGTGACAATAAGGATTGACCATCACGGCAGCAGATTTAGGTTTGTATGACATCAATGCCAGGATCTATGGCCTTTCTAATATCTGTCCTTCAAATGTTCTGTCTTTTACTTGTCAAATTCCGGGTGGTCCAAACAACTAGCATCAGCCACATGGGGTTTTTGTTGTTTCTGGCTTAACTTGTCCTGTTTGCTTCCTATCTTATGCCTCAAAGGTTCTGCTGAGAAAATGACCTCTAACTCTAGGTCACCTGAAGCTGGTTGAGGGCACAGGGTTGAGAATGTGATGTCTATGGATGGTTCCGGCACGCAAGATCGCCACACGCCTGTGATCCCAGGACTTGTGAGTGGGAGGCGGGAGGACCCGGAGTTCAAGGTCATTTTTCGGCCGCCTGTTGGGTCAGAAGGCAGCCCGAGCCACATGAGACCCCGGCTGGAAAAAGAAACAAAACTCCTGGCACACTATAAAAGGCGGGCTGAAGCCTAGAATTTTCCATGAGGGTTTATTTATTTATTTTGGTCACCTTTTATGTGTTCTGTGTCCTGAGCTCTAGAAGTTGGCACCGGCACCTGTTTTCGTTTATAGAGCTTTTCGCGGCAGCGTTCTGGCTTTGATGAAGACTGCGGCCAGCGAGAGCGCAGCTCACGTGGAGCACAGAAGGCCAGAAAGCGCCTGTGAACGGAGGACTCTGCGGTTACTCCTTTGTCTCATTTGAATAGTAAGATAAATTTAAGTATCTTTGGCGTCAACAACCCCAGCCTCTTCAATCAGAAACCAGCACACTGAACACACAGGGCAGCATTAAGCGTTTTCCTCTTTGCCTAATTATAAAGCACAGGGCTGCAATCATTCACGTTCATTTACCCAATTTCCTATTGTCAAGCGCTGTGTCTACGCTTGATGTGATTATGTTAATGTGCTAATTAAATTGAATGTTCTTTGTTGAACATTCTGCTCCCAGCAAAACGGGAGACCTCGAGGAGAAGTCAGTCTTCCTCCAGTGTGGCCTGGAAGAAATAGAGCAAGCACCCCATGAGAGTCGGGAAGGGTGTCTTTGGGGTTGAGCTAAAGAAGATACAATTCAGTTTCAACAACTGAATGCATTTATAAGGTGTGTTCATAAAGAAAAGAAGGGATCCAGTTTTGTTTCAGGCCTTGCCGCGCCCTTTCAGGCCTGGAAGTACTGTCCGTGCGCTTGTACATGGGCCACAAGGGGGCGCCACAGGTACCAAAAGCGGAGTCTGGTGAGCTCATTTATGGTACTCAACTACCTTTGAATAAAGCTGCTATGAACATAGTTGAGCACGTGTCCTTTAGGTATGATTGAGCATCGTTTGAGTATATGCTCGAGTGGTATACCTTGGTCTTGTCGTATATTGATTACCAGTTTTCTGAGGAACCGCCACAGTGGCTTCCGCAGTGGCTGTACAAGTTTGCCCTCCCACCGAGAACGGAGGAGTGTTCCCTTGTTCCACACCCAGCATGAGCGGTGTCGCTTGTGCTTTTGATCCTGGCCATTCTGACAGGTGTAAGATGGAATCTCAGTCGTTTTGATTTGCATTTCCCTGATGGCTAAGGATGTTGAGCAGTTCCTTAAGTGTTTCTCCATCATTTGAGATTCTTCCTTTGAGAATTCTCTGTTTAGATCTGTACCCCATTTTTAACTGGATATTTTGGTTTGTATAATTTTGGCTTCTTTGTCAAAAATCAGGTGTCCTTAGATATGTGAGTTAACATTTGAGTCTTCAATTCCATTGATCTGTCTGTTTTGACAACAATACCAATGCTGCTTTACTACTATAGCTCTGTAGTGGAGTTTGAAATTAGGGGTGGTGATACCTCAAGAAGTTCTTTTATTGTATGGATTTTTTTTTTTTAGATATCCTGAGGTTTTTTTGTTGTTGTTGTTTTTTCATATGAAACTGAATATTGTTCTTTCAAGGTCTGTAAAGAATTGTACTGGGGGGGGGCGGCTGGAGAGATGGCTCAGTGCTCTTCCAAAGGTCCTGAGTTCAATTCCCAGCAACCACATGGTGGCTCACAACCATCTGTAATGAGGTCTGGTGCCCTCTTCTGGCCTGCAGGCATATACACAGACAGAATATTGTATACATAATAAATAAATAAATATTTAAAAAAGGAATTGTGCTGGGATTTTAATGGGGATTTCAGTTTTATTTGTAATATCCAGAACCTGGAAAAAAGCTATATGCCCTTCAGCCAAGAAATGGATTTTTTTAAAAGGTGGTACATTTTTACACAATGGAGTATTACTTAGCTGTTTAAAACAAGGACACCAGGAAATTTGAAGGCAAACGGATGGAACTAGAAAAAAAGTCATCCTGAGTGAGGTAACCCAGACCTAGAAAGACAAGCATGGTATGTACTCACTCATAAGTGGATGTTAGCTGTAAAGGATAATCATGCTACAGTCCACAGAGACTAGGTAACAAGGAGGATTCATGGAAGGACACCCAGATATTACAGTGAAGGTTAAATAGAAGATATGTCTCGAGTGGACTGAGGGCAGGTTGGGGGGGAACATGAGCAATAAGGTGGGGGAGGGCGAGGGGCAGAGTACTGAAAGGGGGCATCTTGGAAAAGGGGGCATCTCTGGGTCACGTGAAAACCTGGAGCAAGGGAATCTCCCAGGAATCTACAAGACTCCAGCTAAGACTTCTAGCAATAGCAGATACGTAGCCCGAACTGGCCATCTCCTATGATCAGACTGGTGCCCAGCCCAACTGTCTGGCATAAGACAGGCTTCATCCACCAACTGACTGAAATAGATGCAGACCCACCGTCAAATATTAGGTGGAGTTCAGGGAATCTTGCAGAAAAGGGAAGAAAGGATTGTAGGAGCCAGAGGGGTCAATCAACTACCCTGGGCTCTAAAGGGCTCACATAGACAGAACCGACAACCAGGGAGCCTACATGGGGCTGACCTAGGTGCTCCGTATATATGTGATAGTTCTGTAGCTTGGTCTTCTTGTCTCCCTAACAACGGGAGCAGTGGCTGTCTATGGCTCTTTTACTGGCTTTTGAGACCCTATTCTTCATACCGGGTTGTTTTGCCTAGCCTTAATATAAGGCAAAGTGCTTAATCTTACTGCAACTTGTTAGTCATGTTTTGTTGATATCCATGGGAGGCCTGCCCTTTCTGAATTGAAATGGAGAAGGAGTGGATTGAGGGATAGAGGGGAGGTGGGGGGCTGGGAGGAGAGGAGGGGATGTTAAATAAATAAATAAAAACTTATCTTTAAAAAAGTCCACTTTCGACTTGAACTTACTTTTGTTCTGTTGATTTCCTGACATAATTTATGTAGACACTTTAGACACAGCCTGGTGTGGCCTCTGCAGAATCCCAGGTAGCAACTGTTTCTAGGAATCTGCAGCTGACACACACACACACGCACACACACACACACACACACACACACACACACACACACACACATTGAAACCGGGATAGAAGGGAAGGCTGAGCTGCTTGCCAGTTTTGCTTCTGTGTTTTCTGCCTGATGCCCAGGTCTTGCCTAAGACAACACAGGTGCTTCTCAAGTCACTTGCTTCAAGTTGCAAATGAAGTGATATTCCTTATTACTGAAAGAGCTCTTTTAGACTTGTTTAGACGAGGATCTGAGTCCATTTTAACTCAGTCTGCATCTGCATTTCTCCTACAGCAGCATTCTCTGGGCTCCCATAGTGTGGGAGCTGGAGAATGTCCCATGTGAGTATCCTACTGCGGTCTCTGGAACATTCTGCTGATCTTATGCTTAACTTTCCTTGTATTACCCAAAGGGTTATCGAGACTTTCAGTGTAGGTGTGTGCAGAGGATAACAATTGTAGCAATTCCTGTGATACACCAGTAACCCTCAGCCACCAGTCTCCAGGGTGTAGATCATAGAATCTGCAGACTAGTGTGTAATGACACTTGCCTTGTGGTTGTCATAGTGCTGGGTGCTTAATATGTACTCACTAAGTAACAACTGTTAGCATGTTAAAGTATGTTAATTTGAAAAGCAGTGATGTCACATGAATTATTAACTAATTAAGGTAATAGATTATACACAGGCTTCGACAAATAAGGGTATTTTGGAATGCCTGTCTATTTGACCTCAAACAAATGGATCACAGAGAGAAAAGTTTAACGCAGTACGTGGTTAGTTGAATATCACTGAGCTCCATCTTAGCAAAAGTTCAGCGGTGTTAATCATGGTTAATTAAATAAGGTCACCCCACCAGGAATGAGTTTGATACACACAATCGCACTCTGTCAAAATCTTGTAGCCTGTGTTGCCGTCAGCCCAGATAGATGATCCACAGACTAAGATGTTTGTGTTGTAAAAAGCAGCACTATGTCACTACTATACAGCTACCAAAGTGGTGAATATCTAAACTATGGGCAACCCAAAGTGCTGGGGAGGCATGGAGCAAGAGCAGCCCTCGTTCACCGGTGGTGGGAATGTAAAATGGTACAAAGGTTTTGGAAGTCAGTGGAGCATCTTTGGAAGAACCTAGATGGACTCTCGCTCAGCAGCCAGACTCCTTGGCTGATGTTCAAACCCACTGAAAACTTCTAGCCAAGCAAAAACCTACACGTGGATATTTATAGCTGCTTTATTCCTATCTTCCCAGGCTTGGAAGATGTCCCTCTGTGAATGAATAAACAAATTGTGATAAAGCCAGACAATGAAATAGCATTCGGTGCTAAAAGAACGGTTAAGCCATAAAAAGACACAGAGGAAAATTACATGTGGGTTAGGAACGTGAGAGACACCAATCTGAACAGTACACACATTGCAGGATCCTGGTTAGATGGCAACTGGGACCATATCTATAAAGTTTCTCATTGAAATATCTGTAATGAGAGATAAAAGATCAGTTGTTAGAGGCTGATGGAAGGGCTGATCAGAGGTTCTTAGGGTGAGTGGGTGGAACACAGGATTTATAGAGCAGTGAAAATATTCCATCAAGCCAAAATGGTGGATCCACAACATTCTGTGTTTGTCTAAAAAAAGAATGGGCTCTGGATGCCAATGATGTAACGGTGTTGGATCATCATCTGTACTAAATATACTACCTTATGGAGGATGTTGGCAGTTGGGGGGTGTGTGGTTGAAGGACAGAGAGTATATGGGGTGCCACATTCTTCCCACTCGGTTGTGCTGTGAACTTAAAACTGCCCCAAATACAAAGTCTTTTTAGAAAAAAAAAACAAAAAAAACAAAACGCAGAAACATTGCTAGATGAAAAGGGACTGAAAAGAGACAGACATGACAGCTAACGTGGCCTATGGTCCTTGATTTGATCCTGAACCCCGAGTTGCTTTTCTCATGAAGGTCACTTTTTAGATAATTAGGAACAAATAAATAAGATTTGGTGGTTGTGTAATTGTGTTAGACCAATAATAAGGACTTGATTTGATAATCAGAATGTGGTTATAGAAGAAAATGCACTTGTTCTTGAGAAGCACACGCTGGAGTATTCAGGCAGAAAGGGGTGTGATATCTCCCAAAGGCCAGAAAACCAGCACAGACATACACGGAGAAATTATACGGCAAATGGGAGAAGATACTGTTAATTGGGGTACAAGGATTGTGTAAGTTATTTTTACTGATTATTTTTTATAGAAGCTTGCAAAAACTAAAAATGTTTCAAATCTTAAAACAGTATAGAAGACTGAAGAACCAAAATTACTCCCGAAGGAAGATGGGGCCCATAAAGCAGACTTAATTCATTGAAACCATGGACAGCATTATAAATTCCCTTATCAACGTTCATCATTGACGTGCACGAGTAAGAAAGACTTGTTGATGGGAATCCTTCCTTCTGCCCTTTTCTTTCCTTTCTCTTTTTCTTTTTGCTTTTATTGATCCTTTTTTGGATTTCGCATCATGCATTCTGACCCCACTTCTCTCCCTGACCCCTGGCATCTGCCCTCTGCCCTTGTAACCCACCCCCAAAACACCAAATCAAATTTAAAAGAAAAACCCCAAACCAAGCAACACAAAGAAACAAAACAAAATAAAGAAGAATCTTGTCATGGAAGCTTTAGTGTGGCCTCGGAAGTCACACAGTTTACCCTTTAGTCCATACATCTTTACTTGTAAATAAATGTTCACTACTATGAGTCTTTGGCTTGGCTCCAGGCCTCTGGTTTCTGCTACACCACCATTATTGGGCTCTCACTAGGGCTCCTCTTGGATACCCTATTGTTGTCCTGTGTCATGGAAATCCTGCTGTTTTGGTTCTGTAGGTTCATCCCCTTCACATGCTCTAATAGTGCATAGATTCGGTGAATGTTGGGGCGAGCCAACTCATAGCCCTGGTTCTGGACTTGGGTGGTAGCTGAATTTGTCAGCTCGCTAGCTTTTTCCCTCATCCTCACTACCTGGGCGAGCTCTCCAGCACTGCCTCGGTTAACTCACCCAACGCAGCCTACAGCAAGGAGCTGGACCAGGTCTCCTGTTCTCTGGCCCTTAGATCCCATCCCATTCACTTCAGGCCAGCTCTACTGTTTTGTCCAGGCACAGTGCAGGGCCCTCTCTCCAGACAGGTGTACAGGGTATATGACCAGGGGTGAGGTGGGGGAGACAGGATTGAGCGGGGAGGATCAGCTCTCCTGTTCTCATATCCTCAGGGTTGGTTCACCTGCATCCCTCACAAGAGGTCAGTTCTAGTGTGCTGTCCAGACAGGAAGCAGAGGCTGCTTTCTCCGACACTACAATCAGTTACAGTCAGGACTAATTGACCTGCTCTTGTGTCTCCAGGGCCAGCTCTCTCACATACTGTAGGTGCTAACAGGTGGGGGGGGCATCTTTCCCTCACCCATGCCACCACATGACAGATGAGGGGGGACAGGGTCAACTCCCCTGCTCTCATGCCCTCAGGGATGATGGCTCACCTGTGTCCCCGACCACAGGGTCAGCTATAGTGTGCTTTCCAGCTAGGGTGCACACCCACGGTAAGGAGTGTGGCCATCTTTCTTGAGTGGGATGGGGGTGAGTTCTCCCCTGAGGGATAGGGCCAGCTCACCTGCTGTAATACCCAGACATCCTAGGGCCAGTGAAGGGCAGGGAAGGCCCAGCAGAACTTGGTTTCCACGGTCCCCATGCTAACACTGGTCATGGACATCACAATAGACTCCAGCTGCAGCAGGGCCGTGGAGCCAGACATAGTCCTAGCAGCAGCTGGGGTGCACGTGCCACCGTGGCCCCTCTGGCATCACAGGCCCCTCTGATCAGCGTGGTCCCAGCAGCAGCATGGTCACTGGGCATCAACATGGTCCCAGGTAGCTGGCTAAACCCTGGGCATCCACAGACCCCACCGTGGCAACTGAAGACATGGACACCACCCAGACATGACCCTAGAAAACGACCTGTACCTAGAAGTCTCCATGGTTCCAGGTGGCAGCACCAGCCATGACCCCAGGTGAGGCACAGTTCTCAGACAGTGACGTGGTCCGAGGTGGCCGATCAGACCCTGGTCCTCCACATGGCCCTCAGTGACAGCAGGAGCCGTGAACATCGACTCAGATCCTGGGGGCTGTAGAACCACAGGCAAAGACACAGCCCTCTGCAGCAGCTCTGGTCCAGGCAACACCATGGCCCTGGCTGACAGTGCAGGTCACTCAGATCAAGGTGTTCCTGGGGGCAGCAAGGCACTCGGATGCCCTCATAGCCACAGGTTGTAACCCAGACCCAGGCATCTATGTGGCTTTGGCAGCAACATAAGCCATAGACATCAATATGGACCCTGGCTGTGGTAGGACCTTGGATCCAGCTGTGGTCCCAGGCAGCAGCGTGGCCCGGATATCGCCATGGACCCAGTTCTGCCTGCCTTTTTCTAATCGAGCCGTATTTCACACGAGCAATCTCCACAGTAGCAGAGTGCAGAAGTCTGCTATATTCTAGGGACACCCTCTCCCCTCAGTGTGGCTATGTCTGGGGGGCACAGATGCCTTCTAATTGCTCATTTTTTTCTCATTATTTAATCTCATTTACTAATGATCTAGTGCTTTAAGTCTGTTACGCAAAAGAATTAAATGTAGTCATAGTGCCGTTATTAATTATAACAAGCCCTATTATTTCCTCTCTTGATTCTTGTGCCAGCCCCAGCCTGTCAGGTGCTTATCACAAGAGCATCCGCTTGGCTACCGTAGCCGCACAGTGGCCATTTCCATGTAGTGACCCTGTTACCTCCTGTGTCCATTAGTTTATATGTGTGCCCGGTGTGGGATCCTGACCACGTCATTCACTAGCTATATGGTCTTCAACCAGCTAACAAATCTCTCAGCTTCTGTTTACCTTTAATTTAAGTTATTCTTGAAAGCTGGAGTGTACACTAGTGTGAGCCAGTCAAACCACAGATACCTGCTTGGCTGTTCGTCACTTGGTTCCTCTCTCTACAGAGCTCCCGCTGGATCTTATACCAGTGACTTTACTCATTTAACAAGAGAAGTTCCATTTCAGCGTTCTGTGAGAAACAGGGAAGCATGATCATCAGGGCAGCTCGATTTGCATAAATCAATACTTTGAGATTGAGTGAGCAGGAACATCGAAGCCAAATTGACCTGGGTTCACATATTTATCTATGCCGCTTATTAGCTGGGCCACGCTTCACCTCTCTGAATATCAGCCGCTGAATAAAGTAGAAACAAAAATAACTATATTAGAATGTTATAGTCGAGGATGAAGGGTTAAGTAAGATCTGCGAAATGATTTTGCGATCTTTCGGCCATTTTATAGACATATATATGATGGTATTGCCTTGTCTAGTTAGGCTTTCATTGCTGAGATAAACACCCTGACCGAAGGGCTTACAGGCTACAGTCCATCAACAGGAAATGCCGAGGCAGACTCACGGCAGCAGCTGAAGCAGAGGCCATGGAGGAACACCGCTCACTTGCCTACTGTCCGTGAACCCCTCTCTTTGCTTTCTCAAGCACATCAGGTTTCCCTGCCCGAGGATAGCATCACCCACAGGGGGCTGAGCCCTCCCTCAACAATAATTGGCCAAGAAAATGACCCCACAGACTCACCTGCAGGCCACTTTTATGGAGGAATTTTCTCAATTATGGTTCGCTCCTCCCAAATAACTCTAGCTTGTGTTGAGCTGACAAGCAAAGCAGGCAGGACATGTATGTTATAGCTATTACACACACGGATACATTATATGAAAATGCACACACACTATAAAGGCGATACAGTGGCTACACAGTGCTGTGATTTAAATGTGAAATGATCCCCGTAAGCTCATGTGTTTGAGCAGAGTGTCCCCAGACGTTGGGACCATTGCCTAAGCATGTAGAGCTTTATGGCCCAGCCCCACTTCCAGTTCTCTGTTTCCTGAGCATGAATGCGATGTATCCAGCCAGCCTCCTGCTCTTCCCTGCTGCGATCAAATGAACTCCTTTAACCATAGGCCAGAAGAAGCCCTTTCTCCCTTAAATTGCATTGGGCATTTATTTGGCCACTACAGTGGGAAAAATAACTAAAACACACAGTGGGTCCACGACTCTCTGGGGAGAGCCTGAGTCACACAGCATGGCATTCGGCACACAGACTTGCTTTTGCCCGGTTTTCATCTCTCCAGTAGAAAGCATCGGGCCCCAAGGAACAGACCAAACTGACCATACACCAGCTGTTTCTCCCGGGGTACCAGAGTGCTTCTGCAGGCTGCTCTGTCCATCACCCTCCAGTGAGAAATTCATAAGAGACCAGAATGCCCACTGAAGGCCGTAGAGCAACAACCTTCAACCTGGGCGTCATGACCCTCTTGGGGTCTAAAGACCCTTTCAGAGGGATTGGGTATCAGATATCTACATTATGATTTATAACAGTAACAAAATTACAGTTATGAAGGAGCAACGAAAATAATTTTATGGCTGTGGGGGTTTCCCATATTATAAAGAAACGGTATGAAAGGGTCCCAGCGTCAGGGAGGCTGAGAACCACTGCTGTGGAGGACGGTGTGCTTATCCAGACGAGGTTTGAGGCTGAAACGGAGTGGCTGGAGGTGACAAAGGGTGCTCTGTGGCTGGGTCACTGCATGTGACAGCCTGTCAGGGGGAACTGGCCACACGTCTTGGCGAGGGCTCGAGTCCCAGATCCACTGTGTTCTGTGTCGTTTCTTCCCACCGTTCCTTCTCTGCCTGCTTTCCCATCAGCAGAGGCGTGCCAGAGTCTGCCTCCTCGTTCAGTTTCTGTTTTGTGTTCTTAATTTTTACCTGTCAGTCCCCCACCCTCCAAGGCTACTTCACCCGCTTAGGTTTCCTAGGCAATGTTCATTCTGCTTTTGACCCCGAAAGGAAGAAAAAAAAAAGGTTAGAGTTAGCTTCTTCTTTGACAAGTTTCATCTATTTTTGCATCGTTTTGAGTTCCCTGCTTTCTGGGAACTTGGGAAGCAGCTCCAGAATCCATCATGGTGATTCATCCAATGGCTCCTTTACTCCCCGGACACTATTAGTAAGTGCTTCTAGAAAGTTCTACTTAGAAACATGCCAGGCCCTAGAAGAAGGAAGAAATGGGCTTCCAAAAAAATGCTGCTATTAGGGATTCAGAGGTCTTGCACAAACTACATCTTCTGCCAAGCAGGCTGATTAAGAAGTACAGCATCTTGCATACTATTTCCAGGGAAGAAATGGGACAGAGTCAGCAAGAAGCTAATCAAACAACATTGCACAAAGGGAACACAGGGTATCTCAAGAACAGTACAACCAGGGCACACAGTGTCCTTGGAACTGATAGCCTAGCCCCCCCTAAGGCGGCAAGAGTTGTGTTCTCAGGATCTGAAGCCACAGCTCCCACGGGGGCCCTAGCCCCAGGCCATTACCAGCTTGGTCAAGCATGTTTCTGGTTTTAGAAAAGGAGCTGGCTTCCTTCTCTATTCATCAGATCCTGGTGTGTGTGGTGGGGGCAGGGAGCTCCAAGGCCCTGACCTCAGGCTATTTGTAGTTCTGCCAAGCATATTTATGGCTTTGAGAAGGGTTATGTTTCTTCTCCACACACCAGGGCCTCAGGAAAAGCCTTAGTTGATCAGTCCAGCCTTCAGCGAGATTGACAGCGACTTTCCCTTTCCAAGGTGAGATGAAGCTTTGAGGATGCCTGACAGATGCCCTGCCTTCCACGGTGGTCCTCTGTCAGCCACGGTCAACCCTACTGTGTTGACGGCAAGTCCTTCGACTGTGTCCACTTCGAGCTGTTCGCAATGCAGAGTTGCAGACAGTAAAAGACATTTGTTCTCGGAGCGCTCGGGAGAAAGGATTTAGTTCTATCATCTACCATGTCCACGGTTCTTCCAGGAGTCCTGTGCCAAGGTGACGACACACACCATAATGACACTGGGCACAAGAAGTCTGAGGATGAGACCATCTTGAAGCATGTAGGTTCTGGCTTCTTGTCATGGCAAAAGACAAGGCAAATACAAATGGGTCCCAGGATTTCAGTTGCTAGGCCAGTAATGTCTGTGGTCTTTAGGAAGAGGGAAGATGGCCCGGATATTATAGAAACCGTGAAACATGTTGGTTCCAGGAAAGGTAAGACCAGCAAAAGTGGACAACGCTAAAGGGTTTGTCTTGGGAGCATCTTGCCCACCAGACCACTGCTGTGGTCTGGAAGAGTGTTCCCACCCATATGTTCATAACCCCCTGTAAGCTTGTGCTCTCCCCACAGTACAGTAGGTTCCAGGTTTTCATACTCCCTTTCAGTGACATTTATGACTGTGACAAAAAGCCTTAACACCAACATCCAAAGCAAAAGGGCGATGTGTATGATGCTATACACAAAAACTGGTATGTAAAAGCCATTCATGCGGTGTCAGAAATGATATTCAAGGTTAATTAGTGTAGGAAACTGGATTTGAATTTTGCTTTAGGTGGAGTCTGGGTTGGCTGGCCATTGGTGGAGGTTCTGTCCTTTGGGGAGTTGGATGGAATTGGGTCTGCAGATGTAACAGGCTCTGGCACTTGAATAATGAGGGGTGTGCATCCAAAGCAGACAGGGCAGCTGGTGCTGACCCACCTATGTTAGGCTTGATTTGGTATTCAACTGATTGCCGACTTTAGTGTAAGCAGTGGGTAAAAGAACTTTGTGGGGGAGGGTCCGGTAGCAATTGGAGCCCCTTCTGTGTCTTTCTCCAGGTGCTGAGATGGTCTGACTGTCCTGGGGTTGACGCTGGTGTGGCACGGTGTTCTCCCCACCACGAGGGGCACAGAAATCCACCAGGATTACCAGGGGAGATGGGGCCTGGCTTAGGGAGAAGGTTATGTTAAACAGGTCAGGGAGTGGCCAACCTGGGTGGCAAGAAGAAACCAAGAAAGATGTGTGACAAATTCAGATTCCTTGAAGCCAGCTTGGGAAGGGAGCCTTGTGAAAGACGAAGGCAAGGTATGTGCAATGCTCGAGTGATTGTCTTTTCCCTGCAACCAACAACGCCTCCCTGCTCAACCACAAAGCTAACACAGTACCCATTATGTAACCTCAAACATTTAATCTCCTAATCCATACAGCAAGAAGAATAAAGGGAACCTCCATAGAGCCATCCTTACACCGTATCCCAAAGAGTGTTGAATATCCACTCCCTTAAGCTCCTTTGGCTGTGCTTAAAACAGCCAGATATCCAGTACACCAAAAACCCAGCCCTCCATTGCTAGCTGGAGTATTCTCAAAATGAATTTTCTTACCCAGAAATGTGCTTGGCTTTATCCAACCATGTGTCTCACAGGAAATCATTGTCACCTGCCCCTGGATTTTAGACATTTGCATGCTAATGATTAAGCAGTCTCCAGCCAGTCAGTTGGATAATGAACCTGGGCTAGCTGTATTGTATCAGAGAAACCAGTGTGGGTGGCAGCCAAATGTTGACTATCACTTAGAGAGAGATTAATTTTTAACCAACCCTATTAATTTCTCTTGACATCTGAAAGCAAGTTACCTCTGTTTATATAATACGAGAAAAGATCAAATACACATATTTGGCATGCGTCACTGAAACACCTAAAGAACGATAGTGAAAAAATAAAAGATCCGCTCTCCTTTGGGGACTTCCAGTTTGAATGAACACAATACTTAGTTCCAGATTCTGACCCTGGGAGAGAGGCTGGAGAGCCTCCTCAGTCTCAGGCACCCTCCAACGTTCATGGGTTCAGTGGACAAAGTGCTCACTGTGCAAGTGTGAGAACTGGAGCTTGGGCCCCCTCAGCCCAGCTAAAGCTGCAGGCAGTGGCTCTCATCTTTAATCTTAGTATTCCGACAGCAAGACACGAGGCAGAAGAGCATCCCCAGAGTTCCAAGAGCCAGCTAGCTTGATGCAGGCAGGGGTGAACAGCAAAGAGACTCTGCCTCAGACAAGGTAGAAGGTGAGGGACTCAAACCAAAGGTGACTGTCCTCTGACATCCGCCTGTGCCCCTTGGTGCACACGCATCCGTAGTCACACATCAACAATCTCAATCTCGCTCTCTCCTTCACATACACACACATACACACACACACACACACACACACACACACACACACATAAATGAAAATAATTTTATAGGTGTAGTATTTCTTCATTGAGATTAAATCAGATTTGCCAGTGAAATAATGGGACTAAAATGACTTGAGAGTCAGAGGGCATAGGAGTTGTTATAATCTCCACTAGAAAACAGGGTGAGCGGCAACTTTCTTATGGACTGGGAAAAAGTAAAGATTGATAGAGAATTGGGCCCCAAGTAGTACATGAACTTTTCGGTTATACTCATTTTTTCTTTTTCTTCCTTTCTTCCTTCCTTCTTTCCTTTCTTTCTTTTTTTGAGACAGGGTTTCTTTGTGTAGCCTTGGCTGGCCTCAAATCATGCTGGCCTCAAACTCACAGACATCTGCCTGTCTCTGCCTCCTGAGTGCTGGGATTAAAGGCGAGTGCCGCTACTGCCAGGCTTTCTTTTGTTTTCCAAGGGAACTTGATATGGCCTTTAAGACAAACCAGAATTATAGCAAGATATTAAAAATAAAACCCAATCCAGACAATGGTAGAAACAGATAGACTTAGGGAGTCCCTAACACTAGAGAGGTGATTAGTACTTCAGAAAGACACCTGTAACTCTGGGTCACGTTGTCACAGAAGAGAGAAAAGTGCAGAAACACACCGAGTTCTTTGCGGTGTCAGCTTTGGGCATCACTACGAGATGCTTCCTTCTCTCACAGACCTGTGTCGTCTCCCAAGCGCGACAGGTATGATCACCTGCTCCATGAATGTGATGGGTCTACGGGGTTGCGGGGGAGGCATGCCATGTAAACTGTGGGGTGACCAGCCCTTTTCCATGTCACTCTTTCTCTGGAGTGAAGGAGGGCATGGAAGATCTCTCTAAACATTCCAAGCCTACCAAGAGTTGTGTTCTTCACCACGGGAAAGAAGGCGAACTGGGGTGAGACGCAAGGCCAGCCAGAAGAGAAGAAAGACAAGCCCAGTCAGTTGGCATGATGTTCAAGGACCGGGTTCTAGTTTTTCTTGAGGCTAACTCGGTCCCTGCCCTCTGTGTTTTGATTGTTCAACTTTCCTCTGAATGACCTGGGCATTATAAGCGTCTCACTAGGAAGCTCACCACTGAGAGATCGTTTGAAGTAGGGCACTTTCATGAGCAAAACTCCAATCGATGCACATCAAGATTTTTAAGATAAATGCTAAGTTCACTTACTTTCTTTTGCCCTTGATAAATAACCACGAATGAGTTTTTCTCCAGATATGGCTACTGATGGACCGGGCCATCAAGACGGTTTTTCAATTTGTCAGTTGCTGTTTTTAACTTTTTTCCTTTCTATTTGCTCTGGGGTGGTTTGAATGAGAATCCCCGCCCCCCCCCCCCCAGCACACACAAGGGGTTCATCTGTTTGAATGTCTGGTCCCCAGTTGGTGGCACTGTTTGGAAAGGATGAAGAGGTGTGCCACTGTGAGAAGCCTTTAAGGTTTCAAAAGCCCAGGCTGTTCCCAGTTAGCTTTTTCTGCCTCATGCTTGTGGGTCACATGTAAATTCTCAGCTACTGCTCCAGGGCTGTGTTTGCGTCTCAAGACGACCATGGACTCTAAGCCTCTGGACCTAAGAGCTCCAAATGAAATGCTTTCTTTTATGAGCCGCCTTGGTCATGTTTTATAATAGGAAATAACTAAGACACAATCCATCACAACCCTAGCTGGTCAACCTTACTTCGCCTCTCTGTAATAATACCAACACATACATCATGCCAACCACATATCAGAGGCTCTCAGCTCCCAGGGTCCTCAGGAAACTCCTCTGGGGTCAGCATTATTATTATCTTTCCTTCACAGAGAAAGGAAACCGGGATACAGAAAACTTGACTCACACAGCGGGTCCATACTGTGGTTGAGATTTTAACAAGGTACTGTGTGGCTCCAGGATCATACTCTGAGAACAGCCAAATCTGAACTGTTCTAGAGTTGTCGCTCGATATGACAAGGGCCAGTATAGAATCCAGCAACAATTGAGGAAGCCAGAGAGCACAGCAAAGAGCTGTGAATCAGGCGTTAGGGTACCAGCTTCTAGCAAAACTCCCATGAGTTAGACGTTTCCAGGAAGTAATGCATAACCGAGGTCTTATGAGCCAAAATTGCCTCATCTAGAACCCTCTCAGTCTTAGACACCTGTCTTCCCCCCCAGATCTAGGATAATTTTGATCTGCTTTAGAGGAGAGGTTAAGCAGAAGGCAAAAGGAATAGTTTTACATTCCCTCGACTTGACCAACAGTAAACAATGTGTTTTATATTTAAACTTTCTTGCTGCGTCATAGTCTACCAAAGATCACAACAGCTTGGTCAGATTTTCTACCATGTTGTGATTTTTGCCATAGCTACTCCTTAAATATCTGAACAGTTTTGTTATCGCTAACATTTTAAACCCATATTAAAGGGATGCAAAGAAGCTTCGAGGTAACAGCCTCAGTGTGTGAGGCTCAGGGTTCTAGCCCCTGTAGAATTGCCCTATGGAGGCTCCTTTTTGCCCCTAAATGAAAAGCACACCTGGGTCCCTCCATATTTGAGCTTTCTCTCTGCTTGTCTGACCAGTCATCCTTGGAGACTGAGTTCAGAACCTGCAAACCAGGCCTGCGGGTTCACTGTCGGTCCATTACCCTTTCCTTCCTCTCCTCCCCAGACCCTTTCTTCGTCCTTCCTCTTCTTCTTTTGTCTCCTCACTCTGCAATAAAGGTTACAATGGCGGCCTCCTGCCTCTCTTCTGGACAGGGACTTCCCACACACATCCTTCACCGTGCAATACGTCTGCAGCGTATTGCAGTCTCTCAAGTGTTCATAGCACGTGGATTGTCTCATTCAAGTTCATCTTCCTGATGACTTGGAACAGTAGGCAATGTCGTCCCATTTTATGGGTGATGAAGATGAGACCGAGGGGGGATTAGCAAGGTGTCCAGAACAAGAGAATCAGTAACAGTGGAAAACCTGCTTCTCGGGCAGAAAAGGTATGCCTTGCTGCATAAGATTATGTTTTCATCTGCTTCGTTTGTCGAAATCTGTGGTTCTCCCAAAAGAGGAGAAACCTATTAGAGGGCATAGGCAGGTGGAATGCCTGTCTGGGCAGATTTTAGACAAGTAGAGTCAAAGACAAGAAGACTAGAACGAGATGGCAGGGGCATAGACATCCTTCTTCTGATGATATTCTTGGTTTTGAGGTTGGTAGAAGCTCCTTTGTTTTTCTAAGAATATATTCTAAAGGCTTTACCTGGTAGTGGCAGGAGGTTGGTCGGACATAGAAGTGAGAAATAAATGACTATTAAGGGAATTAAAGATAATCCAAGGTGATGTTGGCTTTCTATCTGCAACATTACAACTCCCCAGTCGCAAAAGTTCCAATCAATCAGCTGCAGAACCATCAACACAGGTGTGGCTTTTTAAGGGACCGTCAGAAATTCTCAAGCCTGAGTTGGGTTCCTGGTGGTCTGCTGTTTACCCTTTAACTCCTCTTTCCATTGGCAGCCATGCACCTTCTTCCCAGTCTCTTGCCGACCCAAGATGAATCTAGAAGGAACTAAATACTCTTCAAATCATTTGATGTCTTGCAGAAGAAGCTCGTTGCGTCTGGAGTCAGGACTCAATGGATATGAAGCAGAATCAGGTCACAGATTCCTCTTCTCAAGTTGAAAAAGGAATAAATGCTTTGGGATTTTGGATGTTTATTGGCCGACAAGACCAGTGCTGGCCATTTCTGGAAAACTAGACCCATAATTGTGTGCTATGGGCATGCATTTTAAAAAATGTAAATCTCAGCTTCGAGTCTAATGCCTCTTTTGGCATTTGAGAGTTCTGGGTTAAGGTTGAGTGGAATTCCTAAGTCTACTACCGGTCACAGTCGGCTAACTCTCTTAATTAGCACAGGACCACTGTATTGTATAAGCGCCACCTCTCTGCTCAGCAATGACTAACCGCTCCATTCCAGACTGTTTACTTAAGAGGGGGGCTTTCGCCCACAATCAATGTTTCTGGGCACTGAACCTATTTAATTCTGAGAGACAAAGAAGGCTAATGTGGGTCTGGTCCCCTATTCCTCCTGTCCTTCTCCATAGCCCATCCTTCTCTGCCCAGTCACCGAATCCTCATGCTGGGGGTGACTCAGCACCAAGTCTCCTCTAGCCATTAAACGGTACAACCTTGATAAATTCACTTCTCTACTTTCCAGAGAAGAAATAAACTCAAAGCAAACTGTTGGTACAGGCACTTTCTTCTACCTAAGCGGGTCCGTGTTGGGGAAGACGAAGCACCTCCTAACTTAAGAAATTCACCCCCCAAACCCCAACCCCCAGCACAAGACAGACACCAGACTATAGACAGTCCAGCTGTTGCTCACTTGATAGCTATCTTTTATTGTAATGGACACTGGCAAGAAGACACGTAGGTGAGATCCAGAATCAGAGAGTTTACAGGGCTTGTGAGATGCTTCTTCATATAAAAAGGCACTTACCCTGCCTCCAAGCCTACCCGAATTTGATCTCTGGGACCAACACGATGGGAGGGGGAATAGACTACCCCAAGTTGTGCTCTGACCTCCACATGAGTAGCACGGCACTTATACACCCCACATACACACCCACACCCGCACACACACACGCACACCCACACACGCACTCATGCACGCATACATGCACGGGATAGTTACAAAATAATGTTCATTTAGAAAATGGATAGAGGACAAGAACACGGCTACAGAAACCTGTTGTGCCTGGCTACGTGTGTATACCAGCTGTGTTTGCTATAATTTTATTCGGCGGGGGGAGACTATCAGGCATATATCTGGGGACAAAATAAGCCGCACGTGACTGAACTTGGTTAGGACACTGCTATGGATCCGTCAAGGAGGGACACTTGATTACTTTTCAGGTGTGTAGAAAGTTGGAGGAAGGAAAGAACTCGGTGATGCTGCTGAGCTGTCCTGCATGTGCTCCAGACCGACCCACGGGTAGGGCCCAGAAAAAAACAGACTCCTACCGGAAAGACCTGGGGCAAGATGTCTGATGGGACACAGAGAAAGACTTTATTTCCCTACCTTAAGAAGCATCATATAGAGATCAGATGAGGTGCTGCACACTTGCAATCCACGCACTGAGGAAGCAGAGGATGGAGGAGTTTACAAGTCCAAGGCTAGCCTCGGCTAAGTAAGGGGAGCCCCCATTTCAAAACAAAACAAGTGTATGGTGTACACTGATTAAGTGCCGGTGGTATTTGAGTGTTCCCTTTGGGGGGATACAGAAGAGAGGCCGAGTCTCACTTGGTTTGCTGTGCGGCTTCAGGACCCTTCGACTCAGACACCCACTGAAGTTTCAGTCCCTGGCTGATATCCCGGTTGGTCTCTCCTTGTTTCTGTCTGGGCCTGGTCTGTGTTGAGTCTGGACACACAGTGTCCTTGCCTTTCTACTTTCCTATATTCTAGTCATTTCCTCAAAAGCAGCCTTTCACTCAGCAGTGACCCAGTTTCAGGGGTTCTGTTTAAGCTCCCAGAAGCAGGTGACCCCCAGACAACAGGTGCCTTATAACCTACCAACCCTAGATAGCCCTGCAGGATATGACTCTCTTATGCTCAGCGCCTAGGTCTGTGGTGGGTGCACAGACCTTTCAATATTTGTCCAATTGATACATTATTAGGGCAGTGGAGACAAACACTGTCCGAAGACGATGTTGGTTTGAAAACACACCCCAAGCATTATTTTCCTATCCTATCCCAGGGTTCTTTAGAAATAGTGTGGTATCTTTTGCAGATGGACCAGTGTTAGAAGCCGTACTGTGACCCCGGGGGTGTGACCAGCCGTCCAATCTCACCTTATCAGGGCATCTACTGTGGAACATCCCCTCCAGGAATCCTAGCGGCTGCCTGGAAAACATCTCTTCAAGTTCCCAGCACTTTAATTTCCCCCAGATAAGCAGATGGAATCATAAGAAACCTTCGTAAGCCGCCAGTTTGGAGGTGTGAATAAGGCCCTCGAGAGGACTCAATAATAAACGCTGGCAGTGGCCATGTCCTCAGGAAGGCAGAGCTAGACACTGGCATCCTCAAACCCTCCTTGGCTCCTCTCCATTCCTGGGCCAAGCTCCGTGCTGAAGCTGTGTGCGAGGTGCCTTAGAGGGACGGTGGCCTCGCACATTTCTGGGCGCCTTCCCTTAGGCCTTCTTCCACAGCCCTGGCTGGGGAGCCCGGGAGCCCAGTGGCGCGGCCTTGGCATGCTAAGTGGCAGTACTGGGACGCCTTTGTTTCTGAGGCCAGTTGTCCTCTGCATTCAAATGGGTCGCTCGCCCACTCGCTCCTCCGCCGGGGGACAGCGCCCCTTGGCGATGTGTCCCCGACACCTGGGGACCCTGCGAAGGCATAGAAGGGGGTGCGCAGGGACCTCCAGCCTGGGCACCTGCGCGGGCTCAAGGGGGTCCCGCTGCCCGCTGGCCCAAGTCTCGCGGTGCTACGGCTCGGACCCGGGAGCCGCGGGCCCGGCACCCCCACCGCACCACAAAGGCTGAACCCGGAGGAGGCCCGGGAAGGGAGGAGGCGCGGGTGCGCGCGGAGGAGCG